GACGACGACGACGACGACGACGACGGAGAGGGGGAGAACGAGTAGAGGAGGCACAGATCTCCGACATCAGGATCATTTCAACACGCACCTCCCAGACCTGTCGATCCCTTCGCAGAGACTGGATCTGCATCCTGGGGCTAGAAGCGGCCTCCACAGACAGCAGCGGAAGAAGATCGCCAGCATTGACAAGAAAACACCGCGGCGAAGGTTTGGCTGGCCGCAGGCCTCAGAGGGCTTCAAAGCTTCAAAACGACAGACAAAACGATGTAACAAGACCCACTCCTCGAACCTCCCTCGATCCATGAGGGAGACTCAGGCCAGAAAAAGCTCGCGCTTGCGCTGTAACACCCGCCCCCTTCTGCGAGCCGGCAGGGGAAGGCCGTCCACCGTGACCTCCTTGGAGATGGCTTCCGGCACGGGAAAGCCCACGAACTCCTTCTCCGCCCTGGAAATAGCCTCCAGGAGGGCAAGGCCACGACGCTCTTTTTCCTGGTTCTCCTCCTCCTGCTCCTCGTCGTCGTCGCGGTTAGCAGCATCGTCTTCAGCCTCGTCGTTATTGTCGTCGTCGTGGTCATCATCATCATCATCATCATCATCATCATCATCATCATCATCATCATCATCATCATCATCACCACCACCACCACCACCACCACCATCATCATCATCATCATCATCATCAGGCATCAGCATCATCATCATCATCATCATCATCATCATCATCATCATCATCATCATCATCATCATCATCATCATCATCATCATCATCATCATCATCATCATCATCATCATCATCATCATCAGCATCAGCATCAGCATCATCATCATCATCATCAGCATCATCATCACCATAATCATCATCATCATCATCATCATCATCAGCAGCAGCAGCATCCGAATCCGTATCCGCATCATCATCATCATCATCATCATCGTCATCACCATGATCATCATCAGCATCAGCATCGTTACCATCATCATCATCATCATCATCATCATCATCATCATCATCATCATCATCATCATCATCATCGTCAACATCATCGTCATCGTCGTCGACATCGTCATCACCAACACCACAATGAATCATCATCATTAACATAATCATCCTCCTCCCCATCATGATCCTCATTCTCATCATCATCCTCATCCTCATCATCATCATCATCATCATCACCATGAAAATCCTCATCATCATCATCATCATCATCATCATCATCATCATTACCAGCATCATCATCATCATCATCATCATCATCATCATCATCATCATCATCATCATCATCATCATCATCATCATCGGCATCATCAGCACCAGCATGATCATGATCATCATCAGCAGCAGCTGCATCATCAACAGCAGCAGCATCATCAACAGCAGCAGCATCATCAACAGCAGCAGCATCATCGTCATCGTCATCGTCATCGTCATCAAAATCAGCATCACCATCAGAATTTACAGATTCATCAGCACCATCATCATCAACAGCAGCAGCATCATAATCATCACAATCATCATCAGCAGAATCAGCATCATCAGCGTCATCAGCATCATCATCCGTAGCATAATCGTCATCGTAATTGACATCATCAGCATCATCAGCATCACCACTAGTAGCATCACCAGCATCATCATCAGCATCACCAGCAGCAGCATCATCAACATCAGCATTATTATCATCATCATCATCATCATCAGTAGCAGAATCATCATCATTATCATCATCATAATCATCATCATCATCATGATCATGATCATGATCATCATCTTCATCATCATCATCGCCATCGTCATCGTCATCATCAACATCCTCAGCATCAGCATAGTCTTCATCATCAGTACCATCAACAGAATCAGCATCGTCGTCATGACCGTCAGTACCCTCATCATCATCATCATCATCAGCATCATCATCGTCATCGTCGTCGTCGGCATCATCATCATCAGCATCAGCAGCACCATCGCCATCATCATCATGATCATCATGATGATCATCATCGTCGGCATCATCGTCGCCGTCATCATGAGCATCCTCAGCGTCATCGTCAGAAGCATGAACATTATCATCATCAGCAGCATCATCCCCATCATCCCCCTCACCATCGTCAACACCATCGCCATCACCATCACGGTCACCATGATCACCATGAGCAACCGCCTCATCACAACCAATCATCAACCACCAATCACAAATCATCAATCATTCATCACAGAAAAGTCCATCAGCACCATCATTAGTATTATCAGCATCCGCAGCAGCCTCCTCCTCCTCATCCTCCTCATCATCATAATATCATCAACACCACCACCGCCACCACGATCATCATCATCGGCATCATCATCATCAGTATCGTCATCGTCACCGTCACCGTCATCGTCATCATCCTCCTCTTCCACCCGTCCTCACTCCCTCCCGCTCGCCCGCCCGCCCGCCATCCCTCCCTCCCTCCCTGCCTCCCTCCTCGTTTCCCGTCCCTCTCCTCCTCCCTCCCTCTCCATTCCCTTCTCTCCATCCCCTTTTCCCTCCTCCTCCCTCCCTTCCCCCCTTGTTCCCTTCTCTATCTCCCTCCCTCCCTCCCCCTGCCCCCCTAGTCTCCAGAAGCGCGCTGGCGGCCTTCATCATGTAGCTGCCGCCCAGCGCACGCGGCGGCGACCGAAGGCCAAGAATGCCTGCAGAAGGGGGGCGGGCACTGCGGAGGTGGCGGGCGGAGTGAGGGGGAGGGAGAAGGGGAGAAGGATCGAGACTCGAGGAGCGGAGGAGGGAAGGGGGTCGAGGATCGAGGATCGAGGAGGCCAAAAGGGGAGGAGCGGAGGAGCATCTAGAAGGGGAGGAAGGGAGGATGATCGAGGATCGTGGAGGGGCGAGGACCGGTGGTCGAGCAGTAGAAGAGAGGAGCAGGGTCAAGGAACGAGGACGAGGAGGGGAAGGGGGATCGAGGATCGAGGAGTGGAGGAGGGAAGGAAAGGGGGACGAGTAGGGGAGGAGGGGAGGAGCATCGAGGAAGGCAGGAGGGGGGGATGCAGAAGGGGATGAGCGCGAGGAGGAGCAGACGGGGTTCTACTGGATTCCATTTGACTCGTAACGTACTCTAGGGTCTCCTGGAGCGAGTCCAGCGGGTTTTAGGGCGGTCTAGGCTTCTTGGTCCATCATGAATAGCCCCTCCTCCTCCTCCTCCTCCTCCTGCTCCTCCTCCTCCTCCTCCTCCTCCTCCTCCTCAGTCCTCCTCTTCTTCCTGCTTCTCCTTCTCCTCGTCCTCGTCCTCCTGCTCATCCTCATCATCAGAAATATCAGCATCAGCAACAGCATCAGCATCAGCATCAGCACCATCATCAGCACCATCAACATCATCATCATCATCATCATCATCATCATCATCATCATCATCATCATCATCATCATCATCATCATCATCATCATCATCATCATCATCATCATCATCATCATCATCATCATCATCATCATCATCATCATCATCATCATCATCATCATCATCATCATCATCATCATCATCATCATCATCATCATCATCAGCATCAGCATCATCATCATCATCATCATCATCATCATCATCATCATCATCATCATCATCATCATCATCATCATCATCATCATCATCATCATCATCATAGTCGGCATCATCATCATCATCATCATCATCAGCAGCATCAGAACTAGCATCAGTATCATCAGCAGCAGCAGCATCAGCCTCAGCATCATCAGCAGCAGCATCATCATCATTGCCACCACCATCACCATCAGCACCATCATCCTAATAAGAATCCACATCATCATCAGCATCATAATCAGCATCGTCGTCATCATCATGACCACCACCGCCACCACCATCACCATCATCATCACCACCACCATCATCATCATCATCATCAGTAGCATCATCAGCATCAGTATCATCAGCAGCAGCATCAGCATCAGCAGCATCAGCATCATCATCATCAGCATCATCAGCATCAGCATCAGCATCAGGATCAGCATCATCATCATCATCATCATCATCATCATCATCATCATCATCATCATCATCATCATCATCATCATCATCCACCTACTCCTCCTCCAATCACTACTTCCTGTGCATTGCCCTCCTCCTCGTCCTCATTATTCTCCTCCTCGGGCTCAGGCTGGTGGCAGTTCTGCCGGTCAAGACTGGCGCCACTGGCACCCCCTTCTCCCGACCAAGTCGAGGAAAGGGTGGGAAGTAGCTTTCAAGTGTACTAGACAAAGCTAATCACCCTGCCGCAGGCCGCAACAGAGCCCGGACACCCCGAGGCCGAGCGCCAGCCTCCTCTCCATCTCCCCCTGCCCCTTCCCCTCCACTTCTTCGTTCCCCTCTGCCTCTCTGCTCTTCCCCTTCTGCCCCATGCTTCTCCTCCTCCTCCTCCTCCTCCTCCTCCTCCTCCTCCTCCTCCTCCTCCTCCTATTCCTCCTCTTCGTCCTCCTCCTCCTCCTCCTCCTCCTCCTCCTCCTCCTCCTCCTCCTCCTCCTCCTCCTCCTCCTCCTCCTCCTCTCATCATCATCCTCCTCATCCTCATCTCATCATCATCATCATCATCATCATCATCATCATCATCTCATCATCATCATCATCATCATCATCATCATCATCATCATCATCATCATCATCATCGGCATCATCATCATCAGCAGCATCATCATCATCATCATCATCATCATCATCATCATCATCATCATCATCATCATCATCATCATCATCATCATCATCATCATCATCATCATCATCCACCTCCTCCTCCTTTTTCCTCCTCTCCTCTCCTCCTCCTCCTCCTCCTCCTCCTCCTCCTCCTCCTCCTCCTCCTCTTCCTCCTCCACCACCACCACAGCGGATTGGCATGCTTCCAGCCCCAGGCCCCCCAGATGCGGGCGTGGAGTGCCGCTCCAGCAGGGCATGGGCTGTGGGATCGGCCAATGTCCACCTTCACCTCATCCAATATCGGGGAGATACAATCAACCCGTATAATAAGGATGCACGACAAGGATGCAAGAGCCTTGGAAGGCCATTTCGAAGTTTTGCGAGCGGGGCGCGGCAAACGAAAATGGGCAGGGATGGACCGAGGAGGCAAGTATGCACGGGTACACTTGGGAACGCGACCCATCAACACCATGCGGCTTGACTGTATGAGAAACTCAGACGTGCACCAGCTTCGGGATGGCGCTCGCTTCTCTGAAGTCGCCTTTGCCCCTGCACCGCGCCACGCGACGTGCCGTCTGGCCGCTCAGTGTCCTCGCCGCTGGCCTGCCCGCAACCTTCCGCCCTGGGGCCGCCTTCGCTGCAGCTGCTGCAGCGCTGGCGCCCTTTGCCCCTGGCCGCCGCCGGTTCCCACGCCGCTGCCTCCCCCCGCCTGGCGCCCTGGGCTTTCCAGCCGCCTGGTGGCTCCGCTGCCCCAGTTGCTGGGCCCAGCCCGCACTGCGGCTGCTGGCCCCTCTCCTGGGCGCTCCGCGACGCCGCCCCGCGGCTATTGCCACGGGCTGCCTTTCAGCCCGGCCGCCCGCCGCGCCCTCGCCGCAGCCCCGCTGCGTGAGAGTGCCCCCGCGCCCGGCCCCCCCCCCTTCCGCGGCCGCCGCCTCGCCTTCCTTCTCCCCCTTTCGCCGTGCCCGGGTCTCGCCCAGACGCGCGCGCGGATTGCCTTTGCCACGCTTCGACGTTCAAAGTTACTCTGACGGAAAGACCCATCGTGAAAATGCTTTCGGCGAATCTGGAAATAACCTTCACTGTCGCCGTCGCGATGAGTGAAGCGCCCTTATTGTCTTCTCTGCGTCATTATCATTCTCGCCCTGGCGCAGGGCCCTCACCCGCTCCCCGCGTTGCCCTTGCCTCGCCCTCCTCCTGTTTGTTGCGTCACCCACCACCTTCTCTCCTGTCTATTGCAAGAGCGCGCGAGTCGACTTTCCTCGACGCCGTCACCGCCTCGGCCAGCGCGGGCGCATTCTCGAATGGCCGCGTCGCGCGGCCGTTGGGACAACCCCGCGGGCCAGGCCGTTGGGGCAACCGCGCGAGCCGCTGGGGCGCGGGAGCAAGCCGTTGGGACAACCCCGCAGGCACCGAGCTGGTGACGGCCGCGCTCAGGCGGGGGCAGCACGAAGCCAAGCTCTGCGGCGAGCTGCTCGGCCTCATCCCTGGAGCTCGCCGCTGTCTCATCGAACTGTTCGAGCGCCTTCCGCAAGGACGCCGGCGGCCCGCCCTCTGAAGAGCGCATAGGGATGGGGCTCCCGCCTGAGAATTCCACACAGTTCCCGCCTGATACTTCCTCCATATTCAAGCCTCGGGAGCCCAAAAGTGACGACAGGTCCAGGGATGAGATTGACCCGCTGGATTCAAAACATTAAGTGCGGGCCCCATAGGGAGGGGGCTCCCGCCTGAGACTTCCTCATACGTCACTCACAGGCGAGGCTCCCGCCTGATACCTCCACCATATTCGGGCCTCAGGAGCCCTAAGTAACGGCAGTTACAAGTTCGAGGAAGACCCGCTCGGATTCAAAACGTTGAGTGCATGCGCGGGCACACTATGGAGGGGGCTCCCGCCTGAGACTTTCTCACACTTCACTCGCAGGCGAGGCTCCCGCCTGATACTTCCCCCATATTCAAGCCTCACGTGCCCAAAGTGACGGCAGTTACAAGTTCGAGGATGGCCCGATCAGATGAAAAGCATTAAGCGCGGCCCCATAGGGAGAGGGCTCCCGCCCGAGACTTCCTCACAGTTCGCTCACAATCGAAGCTCCCCACCTGATATTTCCTCCACATTCAGGCCTCAGGAGCCTAAAAGTGACGACAGGTCCAGGGATGAGGATGACACGTTCGGATTAAAACATTAAGTGCGGGCCCCTATAGGGAGGGGGCTCCCGCCTGAGACTTCCTCACACTTCACTCACAGGCGAGGCTCCCGCCTGATACTTGCCCCACATTCAAGCCCCAGGAGCCCAAGAGTGACGACACTTACAGGGATGAGGTTGACCCGCTCGGGTTAAAAACATTAAGTGCGGGCCCCATAGGGAGGGGGCTCCCGCCTGAGACTTCCTCACACTTCACTCACAAACGAGGCTCCCGCCTGATACTTCCCCCATATCCTGGCATCAGGAGCCCAAAAGTGACGACAGTTACGGGATGAAAAACAACTCGCTCGGATTAAAAACGTGAAGTGCGGGCCCAAAGGGAGGGGGAAGCTAGCGAAGGAGTGGGTGAGTGAGTGAGTGAGTGAATGACTGAATGAGTGATGGTGATGATGAGGATGATGCAGATGATGAGTGAGTGGGTGAGTGTGTGATCGAGTGATGCTCAAGGTGATCAAAATGGTCTGTGTGTGAGTGAATGTGAATGTGAGTGGGTGTGTGTTCCTGTGTGTTCCTGCGCGGGGTGTCCAGAGAAAACAAGAACCCCCCTTTGGATGTGGGCAAATAGAAAAAAACTCGATTGGGGGACGCGAACTGGCCTCACGGGGCCGTCAAAAAAGTGGGAGGAACTGGTCTGAAATGCGACGCGCGTTCCCGCTGCATGTACCTCCCGGAAAATTGTAATTTGACCGCCAAGACTGAAAGAGCGGCGGCAGACCCGAGTCCAAACGAACTCCAGTCTTGCGCTTCCCCGACTGCAAATCTGCCCTCCGAACTGCCGCGGCAGCGGCGGCACCACCCGCTGCGCCGCCACGCCTCCAGACGACGCGTTGGGCTCGCCCGCCCTCCTCCTCTCTCTCCTCCTCTTTCTCTCCCTCCTCCTCCCCCTGCTCCTCCTCCTCCTCCTCCTCTCTCCTCCTCCTCCTCCTCCTCCTCCTCCCCCTCCTCCTCCTCCTCCTCTCCTCCTCCTCCTCCTCCTCCTCTTTCTCCTCCAATTCCTGATCCTCCTCCTCCTCCTCCTCCTCACCCTCCTCCAAATCCTCATCCTCATCCACATCATCACCACCACCACCACCACCACCACCACCACCCCATCAGCGTCACCACCACCATCACCACCCATCATCCTCATCCTCATCAGCATCATCATCATCATCATCATCATCATCATCATCATCATCATCATCATCATCATCATCATCATCATCATCATCATCATCATCATCGTCATCGTCGTCATCGTCATCGTCATCGTCATCGTCATCGTCATCGTCATCATCCTCATCCTCATCCTCATCCTCATCATCATCCTCATCATCATCATCATCATCATCATCATCATCATGATCATGATCATGTTCATCATCAGCATCATCGTCATCATCGTCATCATAATCATCATCGACATCATCATCATCATCGTCATCATCATCATCATCATCATCATCATCATCATCATCATCATCAGCATCATCATCATCATCATCCTCATCATCATCATAATCAGCAGCATCATCATAATCAGCATCGTCATCATCATCATCATCATCAGCAGCAGCATCATCTTCAGCAGCAACAGCATAATCATCATCATCATCATCGTCATCGACATCAGCAGCAGCAGCATCGCCGTCGCCGTCGCCGTGGCCGTCATCGTTATTAGCATCATCATCACCATCATCATCATCAGCAGCAGCATCATAAGCATCAACATCGTCGCAATCATCATCAGCATTGTCATCGTCATCATGATCATCATCATCAGCAACATCATAAACCTCATCATCATCATCATCAGCATCATCATCATCACTATTACCATTATCATCATCATAATCATCCGCATCAGCATCATCAACAGCATCCGCATCAGCAGCGTCATCATCATCATCAATGTATGGTGATCTCTCTCTTCATCCTCAGTTTCACCACCATCATAATCAGCATCGTCATCGTCAACATCATCACCATGAACATTAACATCATCATCATCATCATCATCATCATCATCATCATTCTCATCATCATCATCATCATTATCATAATCCGCATCAGCAGCATCAATTGTATCACCATCATCAGCAACAGCAGCATGACCACCATCACCAGCAGCATCATCACAAAAAACATCATCATCAGCAGCAGCAGCAACAGAATCAGCATCATCATCATCAGCACCATCATCATCGTCATCATCATCATCAGCATCATCAGCATCATCATCATCAAACTCATCATCGTCATCATCAGCAGCACCACAACCATCACCATCACCATCACCCTCACCCTCACCCTCATCATCATCACCAGCAGCATCGGCATCGGCATCAGCATCATCGTCATCATCATCAGCATCATCAACATCATCATCATCGTCATCGTCAGCCTCATCATCATCAGCATCAGTAGCATCCTCATCATCATCATCATCATCATCATCATCATCACCCACACACCCATCATCCTCATCATCAGTATCATCCTCATCGTCATTGCCATCCACCTCCTCATTATCATCAGCAGTATCATCATCATCATCTCCCTCAGTGTCGGCATCACCATCTTCATCAATGTGTTACTACCATCATCATCCTCATCATCAGTATCATCACCATCATCATCAACATCATCATCAGCATCATCGTCATCGTCATCATCAAAGTCAGGATCGTAATCATCATCATCGTCATGATCATCATCAGCATCACCCTCATCATCGTCACCACCACCATCACGAGCATCGTCATCAGCAGCATCAACATCATCATTAATTACAATCATCAATCTCGAAATCAGCACATCCCTCCCCTCACTCCATCCATTCCTCCCAAACTCCTCCCCTTCCTCATCAATCTTCCCTCCTCGTTTCTCCCTCCTCTCTCTTCCCGTCAAACCATACATAATCGAAACACTGGCGCACGCGCCCCCACCACCACCAGTCCGCCGTCGGGAGCGCGACGAAGATGTACATACGCCATCACGACGAGCGTCGCCCAAGTAAAGCTAAGCCGCTACCGCCCTCCTCCTTCTCTCCCTCCGCCCCCCCTCTCCCTCCACCCCTCCCCTTCGGCGCCCAGAGCCCCGCCTCCCGCTTCGAGCTTGGGACCCCGCTCCGGCTCGTCCAGCAGCGCCGCCTCCGCACGACCCCACACCCCTGCGATCGAAGACCGACGACAGACAATCCACAATCGACGACGATCCACAACCGACACAAAGGACGATCGATCCTCGAGCCCACTCCTCCCGCCTCCCCTCCTCGATGCCGGATCCCTCTCCCCACCTCCCCCCCTCGATCCTCGATCCCCCTCCCCTCCTCCCCCCCTCGATACTCCTCCTGCCTTGCTCCCCTCGGCGATTCCCACGATGATCGACGGCCGACGATCGACGACCATCGACGACGATGAGACGTCGACGATCGATGTCTTTTGGCGACTTCGGGCGCGTGGAGGCCGTCTTCGCGCGCCAAGAGGCCGTTGGAGGCCCAACGTCGGACGGCGACGACGACGACGACCAACGACGACCGACGACCGACGACGGACGACGGCGACGGCGGCGCCGATTCAACCTGCCCGCGACGCCGCACCGATGGAAGAGAGCCTGCTGCTGATGCTGCTGCTGCTGATGCTGCTGCTGCTGCCGCTGCGTTCCTCCTCCTCCTCCTCCTCCTCCTCCTCCTCCTCCTCTTCTCCTCCTGCTCCTCCTCCTCCTCCTCCTTACCTCCTCCTCCTGCTCTTCCTCTCCTCCTCCTCCTCCTTTTCCTCCTGCTCCTCCTCCGCCTCCTCCTCCTCCTCGTCCTCCTCCTTTTTCCTCCCTCGCTCCGCCTTCCTCTTCCGCCTCCCCTCCTCCCTCCGCCTCCACCTCCGCCCTCCCTCCTCCTCCTCCTCCTCCTCCTCCTCCTCCTCCTCCTCCTCCGCCTCCTCCTGCCTCCTGCTCCTCCTCCTCCTCCTCCTCCTCCTCCTCCTCCTCCTCCTCCTCTTCTTCCTCCTCCTCCTCCTCCTCCTCATCTCCTCATCCTGAAGCATCCTCCTCATCACCATCATCATTATGATCATAATCATCATCATCATCATCATCATCATCATCATCATCATCATCATCATCATCATCATCATCATCATCATCATCATCATCATCATCATCAATCATCATCATCATCATCATCATCATCATCATCTCATCATCATCATCATCATCATCATCATCATCATCATCATCATCATCATCATCATCATCATCATCATCATCTCATCATCATCATCAGCATCATCATCATCATCATATCATCATCATCATCATCATCATCATCTCATCATCATCATCATCATCATCATCATACATCATCATCATCATCATCATCATCATCATCATCATCATCATCATCATCATCATCATCATCATCATCAATCATCATCATCATATCATCATCATCATTCATCATCATCATCATCATCATCATCATCATCATCATCATCATCATCATCATCATCATCATCATCATCATCATCATCATCATCATCATCATCATCATCATCATCATCATCATCATCATCATCATCATCATCATCATCATCATCATCATCATCATCATCGTCATGATCATCATCATCACCACCACCACCATCATCATCATCAGCATCATCATCATCGTCATCATCATCACCATCATCATCATCATCCACATCATCCACATCAGCATCATCATCATCAGCAGCAGCATCACCATCATCAGCATCATCATCAGCATAATCAGCATCATCATCGTCATCATCAACTGCATCATAATCATCAGCATCATCATCATCAGCATCGTCAGCATCATCCTCATCATCGTTAGCATCATGATCATCGTCATCGTCATAATCATCGTCATCATCATAATCAGCATCATCATCATCATCAACAACATCAAAATCAGCATCATCATCGCCATCAGTATCATCATCATCATCAGCATCATCATGATCAGCATCATCATCATCATCATCAGCATCAGTATCATCATCATCATCATCATCATCATCATCATCATCATCATCATCATCATCATCATCATCATCATCATCATCATCATCATCATCATCATCATCATCATCATCGTTCTCCTACTCCTCTTCCTCCTCGTCTTCCTCCTCCCCCTCCTCTTCCTCCTCCTGCTCATCCTCCTCCTCCTCGTCCTCCTCCTCTTTATCCCCCGCGTTCTCCTCCTCCTCCTCCTATTCCTCCTCCTCCTCTTCCTCTTTCTTCTCCTCCGAATCGCTACTGGTCAATCGTCCACCACGCCTGCCACGTCGCCTGCCCCCGCGCCCAGTAAGACGGAGCTCGAGCACCTGGTGCAGCTGTGCGAGAGGACTGGGAACCAGGAGATGTTGGGCCGGGCTCAGAAGGAGCTCGAGAAGCTCAAGGCGTCGTCTGTACCGCCGCAGGAGCGAGCGGACAACACCCACAAGGAGATTGCTAGACTGGAGAAGAAGCTGGACTAGGACCTCAAGGTCGTGCAGGCGCTGGAGCAGAAACTGGCCAACCTGCGCGGCCAGCTGGAGATCACCCTGTCGGAGCTGGAGAAGCACGACCTGGAGCACAAGGCGGCCATCTCAGAGCTGCACCTCTCGGTCGCCAAGCCAGATGCCGAACCTCAGCCAGCTTTACCGTCCATCAGCCTCAATGACATCCTCGAGGGCCGCCTCACGGGTCCGCAGGTTGATGATGGAGGATTGTTTGGCCTGGAGGCTGTCGGAGTTCAAGTATCTCAGCAGGATATTGAGGAGGCCACCCGTCGTAAGGAGCGGATGGCCGATCTGATCAAGTCTTGTTGCACGAAGCTGTTCGGAGAAACCAAACAGCGGGCAGAGGGGCACAAGGCAGCCCACAAAGCTCAGCAGGACCGCTTGTTTGGTAAGAAGCGCAAGACGGACGACACGGCTGCTGCTGCTGGTCCTGGAGCTGCTGGAGCCCCTGAACCTGCACCTGCTGAGTCTGAGGCCGCTGCAGCCAGCGCTGGCGGTGGAGCCCCAGCCTCACCGGCGGCTGCCAAGCCTTCGTCGGCTGGCCAGCCGCCGCCGCCTGCAGACAAGTCTGCGGCTGGCGTTCGGGCCGCCGCTCGAGGGTCAGTCCAGAGAGGCGCTGTCGGCACTGTTTTGCCCAAGACGCCCTGTGGGCCACCGCCCAAAGCCAAGCCGCCTGGGTAATAGAGCTGTGACGGACCCCTCTTACCCCATGATCCCATCCTCTTGCCCAGTTTTGGATGCACCAGCCCTGCCTGGACGTCACGGGTCGCAAGTCGAATCTTCCTGGGGCCAGTTGGGTATGGAGTTCGTCACCGTCAATTGTACCTCGTGGAATTATATCAAGAAGTTTTTAGACCTGACGACGGCGCACGTCGTGCTGTGTCAGGAGCACAAGCTCGTCAGCTACGAAGACCGCCGCAAAGCGGAGGCTTGGTGCTGTCGAAACGGTTGGAAAGCTCATTTTGAGCCAGGGACTCTGGGGCCTGGTGGTGGCCCGTCTGCGGGTGTCGGGGTCCTGGCTCGGTCCTTCCTGGGTCTGCACTACCCCGATGTTGGGCCCTGCGTGAAAAGTCATCGGGCGACAGGGGTCCTGGTCCACCTTCCTGGCCAGGCCAGCTTTTACGCTGTCAGTGTTTACCTCCAGGATTGTGTCGGTTTGAATGATACCAACAAGGACATCTTGGCGAGTGTGGCGGCTAGGGCTAAGAGCCTGGCCGTCCCATCTGTCATAGGTGGTGATTTCAACGTGGAGCCGTCGATGTTGTGCCCCTCTTGTGTCCCTGCTAGGCTTGGTGCGGAGGTCTGCTATCCTGCAGGCGTCTTGGGCACCTGTCGGTATACCTCGGGTGTCAAAATGTATGAATACACATTGGTCGAGGAGCGAGTGGCGCAAGCGATTGTGAGCGTGAAGATAATCAGCGATTCGGATTTGGCTACCCATGATCCTGTCGCCGTGAAATTTCACCCCCAGCTCGCCTCCCTCCGCGCTCTCACTTTCAGGACCCCCCCCCTTCCCAAGACTCGTCCCCCTGGGCCCCTCCCTGAGCCACCCCCCCAGTGGGAGCTTTTGTTCAAGCTGGCCTCCCGAGCCCTGGCTGCGGCCGAGAATGGAAATTCTGACCAAACCCAATTCAATCTTGATGTGTTGTACCGTGAATGGGGCACGGCCGCAGAACAGGAACTCGAGTCTGTGTTTCAGGTTTCCCTACCTTTCCGCGGCAGCAGGGGACACCAGCCACAGCTGCACTGGGTCAATGTCGTCGACGCGTCTCACTGGTCGGTGTCTGGTACTTCCAGCGCGTCTTTAGAGGCCTCGCGATTGAGATGGCTGCGCAGCAGATATCGGCTGTGGCTCCAGCTTCACGGTCTGGGAGTGCGAACCTCCCACTATTTGTTGGCGCCTTCCTCCTCCCCGCGTTTTGCCCTTGGATGTTTCGAAATACACGCTCCCAGAACGGGGAGCACGAGCTCCCACAGCGGCGCGGCCTCCCCCTCTCCCGAGGAGCTCAGACAGCAGCACCTGAGGGAGACGGTTGAAGAGCTGTTGCACCCCCCTCTCGACTTGGCCAGCGGGTTGGAGACACTCTCACCCACCTCCAGGCCGCGCAGAGCATTGCGCCTACAGCTCTTCCGATTGTTGTGAGATCCAAGGGGGGCCTATGTTGATGCTCGATGTGGTCTCCCTGGCTTTGGCTTTGGCCAAGAGCAAGGCCAAGCAGGCTGATCATCAGAGTTGGTTGGAATGGACCCGTCACAACATCGAGAATGGTGCTCGCCACGCTCACGGAGTCATACGGGGGGCCTCAGGTTGGACGCCCACGACCACCCTTAGCGCCAAGGGTGAGGTTCTGTCGGACCCTGGGGCCCTCTTGCCCTCTGCGCTCGAGAAATTCTCGCGGCTCTGGCACGCGGAGCCCCAGCCTGAGGCCCCCCAGGTCGGCGCTGTGCTTGAATATTTGGACCCTCTCCCTGTGCTTTCGGTGGAGGACCTCCGCCGCGTTTCGCGCTCTTTCCCCAAGCACGCGGCGGCGTCGGTTGATGGGTTCCATGTTTCCCATTTTCAGCATCTTTCGGGCCAGACCCTGGGGACCTGGGCGATCATGATGGCGATCTGGGAACGATCTGGACTG